GGGGGGATAAGACTCCTAAGATGGGATGGACGCGGAGAGCTAAGTTTGGTTCCCTACTTGGTTTTACCACCTAAGTTTAAGATACCAGAGTTTGAGAAGTATGAAGGAAAGACATGTCCCATTGCACATTTAACAATGTTCTGTAGAAGGATGACTGGCTTTGTTAAAGATGATAGTCTCCTAATACATTGCTTTTAGGAAAGTCTGACAGGATCTACCGCAAGGTGGTATAACCAACTGACCGGGCTAAAATAAGGTCTTGGAAAGACTTAGCAAATGCCTTCAAAGAGCAATATCAACATGTCATCGATATGATATCGGATAGGGTTACTCTCCAGAATATGGAGGTGAGGAACAACGAGAGCTTCCGTCAGTATGTACAATGCTGGAGAGATATTGCTGCCCATGTCCACCCCCCATTGGTTGAAAGAGAGTTCATAACCATGTTCATTGATACATTAAAATCCCCTTATATTGATCACATGCTGGGGTTAGCCACGAAAAGTTTCTCCGACATAGTTATATGTGGGGAAATGATCGAGAGGGCATTGAAGAAAGGCTAAATTGTCGGTGGCCAAAATTCAATGAAGAAACCCTTCGTGAAGAAAACGGAAGAAGAGGTAAACAATGTGAACTTCTCAATAAATAAACCGAAAGCTGGAAATTCTGCACCTCAAGGAAAGACCAAGTGCGAAAATAATACTGAAAAAACAACTTTCACGCCTATCCTAATGACATACAATGAACTTTTCCAAGGATTATTCAAATCACATGTGGTGTCACCAAAGTATATGGATCCGCTTAAACCACATTTCCCTAAGTGGTATAACAAGAATGAAACCTGTGAATATCATGCCAATATTCGAGGACATTGAAAAATGCATTGCTTTCAAAAGGGTGGTCGAAGATTTGATCAAGAGAAAGATCGCGTCCTTTAATGACTTAGAGGCACCATGCATTACCGTAAACCGTCTCTCAAATCATCAAAATCAGGGTATCAATGCTATCGAAGAAGGTCGTAGAGTCAAAGAAAATATTGAAGAAGTAAAGACACCGTTAAGATGGGTATATGAACAGATGATCATGAGAGGATTGTTAAGTCCAAATAAAGGATCAGTGGGGCAGAAATCAAAAAATTACTGTGAATATCATTGTGAGGATGGCCATCAGATCCATGTTTGCCACGAATTCAAAAATATGATCCAGAAACTGATGGATAAAAGGGAAATGCAATTCTTTGAAGAAGAACCAACAAAGAATGAAGGAGATGTTCATACCTCCGAGGATAATTCAGAAAAGATGGACGCAAAGATGAAAAAACCGGTTCTGGTTATATCTAAGCCAAGTTATGAGGTGAACAAAGGGAATGTGGTACCAAGAGTGATGATAAAAACAGCAGAACCATTTGTCTACAAAGACAACAAAAGTGTTCCATGGAGTTACACATGTCAAATCACCACTCATGGGCATAAGGAATGTGAAGTTTATGAGGTTGGAGGTTTCATTAAAAGTGGCAGATGTTATGCTCACCGAACAGAAAAAGCTAGAGCTATTGTAATCAATGAGAATGAAGAAAAGATGAATAAACCTGTCAAAATTGAGGAGGCCCAAGAGTTTCTAAAATTCTTGAAGCACAGTGAATATAACATTGTGGAACAACTCCATAGAACTCCTGCATGTATCTCAATATTGTCTATTCTTCTACACTCGGAGGTACACCGAAATACATTGATGAAGGTATTGAATGAGACATTTATAGCCAATGATATACCAGTGAAACGTTTAGATAGGCTGATGGGCAACATTAATGCCGATAATTTTATTTATTTTAATGATGATGAAATACCCGAGGATGGTAACGGTAGATGTAAGGCACTGCATATAACCATTCACTGTAAAGGGGTTATCATATATGGAGTCTTAATAGATAATGAATCAGCATTAAATGTCATGCCTGGGCAACTTTGAATCGACTTCCAGTAGATACCTCACACATGAAAGTTTGTGGCAATACTGTCCGAGTATTTGATGGCACGGAAAGGAGCATCATGGGAAAGATCATAATCTCTCTGAGGGTAGGTCCTAAAATATTCGAGGTAGAATTCGTGGTCATAGACATTCACCCGAATTATAATTACCTACTTGGAAGACCATGGATACATATGGCTGGAGCGGTTCCCTCTTCACTGCACCAGAAACTCAGATTTATCATGGAAAGGACTTTGATATTCACCAAAGTTGAAGAGGAAATCATAGCCTCTATCACCATTGATATGCCATATGTAGAGGTAAATGAGAGTGCACTTGAGTCGTCTTTCCAATCCCTGGAGTTTGTCAATGCCACATTTGTCCCTGAAGGAAAGAAATTACCATCTCCACAACTCTCAAAGAATACTAAGATGCAGTTAAAGGAAACTTTAGCCCAATGAGCTAAAGTTGGGAAAGGACTGGGGAAGGAGCTGCAAGAAATCACCGAGGGATTGAGCCCCATACCTAAGAGAAATTGTTTCGGGATAGGATACAAACCTACCTATCAAGATAGAGTTAAAGATGCCCAAAAGCTCAGGGATAGAAAGAAGACCAGGGCACATGGCCAGGATGTCTTCAAGGAACCTATCGTCATACCGCCCATCACTCAGACTTTCACCTCTAGGGGTTTTGTGATAGAGCTCCCAAGGATTGAGGAATGAGCTACTGAAATTGAGACACCGATGAAAGATCTCGGCATCAATGCTATGACAAATGACACTAGTGGGGAATGCTCTCTAGCATCAATTCGTCAATGCCCTCCTGGATACGTTCTGAACAACTATACTGTTGAGGAGCTCCCTGTATTTTCCAAACAAATCTCAGAGTAATGCAGGATAACAACCTTATTAATCCTTATTTTAATAAAATAATGCATTTTCCTTCATTATTTCTATGGAAAACATTTATTTATTTTCTTCTTTATGATAGCCATTAGTCGTTAAAAAAAGGGAATAAATAAATATCCTTGTCTCTTGCCCAAACGCATTCATCTCCCTTTGCAGGTCTCCGGATATCAATTGCACGAATAATGACATTTCTGAACCAAAAGTTGATTTTGAAAATGATATGTGTCTAGAGGAATTTGAGGGTTATAAAGATGATGAGGAATACGAGTTAAATCCTGAATTTTTTAGATTAATTGAGCATGAAAATAAGCATATTTTACCCCATCAAGAGAAGACTGAGACAATAAATTTGGGGACAGATGATGATAAGAAGGAGGTCAAGATTGGTACCTCGATCGCAGCAGAAGCAAGACAGGATCTTATACATCTCTTGTATGAATTCAAAGATGTGTTTGCATGGTCTTATTAGGACATGCCCGGTTTGGATAATGACATTGTGGTACATAGGCTGCTAATAAAGCCAGAATGCAAGTCGATTAAACAGAAACTTCAGAGAATGAGACCAGATATGTTGCTAAAGATAAAGATGAAATGAAGAAACAGTTTGCTGCCGGATTCCTATAAGTATCTAAATACCCCGAGTGGGTAGAAAATATTGTACCTGTTCCAAAAAAGGATGGAAAGGTCCGAATATGTGTTGACTATCGAGATCTTAATCGTGCAAGTCCTAAAGATAATTTCCTGCTCCCTCACATTGATACATTGGTCGATAACACTGCGGGGCACATTTTCTTCTCATTTATGGATGGCTTCTCAGGATATAACCAAATCAAAATGAATCCGGACGACATGAAAAAAACTACGTTTTTAACCATGTGGGGCACATTTTGCTATAAAGTGATGCCTTTTGGGATAAAGAACGCAGGGGCAACGTATCAACGAGCTATGGTTACTTTATTCCACGATATATGCACAAAGAGATAGAAGTGTATGTGGATGATATGATTACCAAATCAAAAACTGAAGAAGAACATGTTTAAGTCCTCAAAAAGTTATTCATGAGATTAATGAAATATCAGTTGAAACTTAATCCAGCCAAGTTTACCTTTGGGGACACTTCAGGGAAGTTGCTCAAGTTTGTGGTAAGTGAGAAAGAGATAGAAATAGATCCCGATAAATTCAAGGCAATCCTAGAATTATCACCCCCTAAAACACCAAAAGAAGTACGAGGATTCTTGGGGAGGTTAAATTATATCGCCAGTTTATATCTCAGTTAACAGAGAAATACAATCCAATCTTCCGTTTGTTGAAGAAAAAGAATCCAGGAACCTGGGACGATAACTGCTAGAAGGTTTTGACAAAATCAAATATTATCTATCCAATGCTCCGGTCCTAGTGCCGCCAGTTCTTGACAGTCCATTAATTATGAACTTGACCATTTTTGGAAATTCAATGGGATGTGTTCTAGCACAACATGATGAACAGGGAAAGAAAGAACGAGCCATTTACTATTTAAGTAAAAAGTTCACTCACTACGAGACCCGATATTCTCACATCGAAAAGTTGTGTTGTGCCCTAGTTTGGACTACGAAAAGACTGAGGCAATATTTATTATACCATACCACGTGGTTAATATCAAGATTGGATCCTTTGAAATACATGATGGAATCAACAATCTTGAATGGGAGGATGGCGAGATGGCAAATGCTGTTAGCAAAATTCTTCTTGGTATATGTGAGCTAGAAAGCCGTGAAAGGTAGTGCCATTGAAGATTTTTTGGCAAATAGGGCACTGGAAGACTATGAATCGGTAAAATTTGAATTCCCAAACGAGGACTTGATGGCCATATATACAATAGAAGAAGAAGCTCCAAAAGAGGAAATATGGAATATGAATTTCGATGGTGTATCAAATGCTGTTGGGCATGGAATTGGGGCAATATTGGTTTCACCTGAAGGAGATCACTATCCCTTCACCAGTCGTCTCACTTTTGAATGTACGAACAACATGGTCGAGTATGAAGCTTGTATTATGGGGATTCGAGTTGCAATTGAGCGTAAAATCAAAATCCTAGAAGTGTTCAGAGATTCTGCCTTGGTTATCTACCAACTTCGCTTAGAATAGATGACTAGAGATTCTAAATTGGTAGAGTACAAGAATCTAGTCATGGATCTGATAAAAGGATTTGAGGATATCACTTTTAGTTATCTCCAGAGGGAAGAAAACCATATGGAGGATGCCTTAGCCACACTGGCTTCAATGTTCAAAGTCAATGACCAAGCTCAAATGATGCCCATCCGAATAAGTATAAGAGAAATACCGGCTCACTGTTATAATATTGAAGAAGAGAATGAGGAAGATGGCTTCCCTTGGTACTATGATATTCTTCAATATGTGAAATATAGAACTTATCCTGCTGAAGCTACTGAAAATGAAAAACGAACCCTAAGAAGATTGGCTATAGGTTATATCCTTGATGGAGATGTTTTATACAAAAAAGGAAAAGATTAGATACTGCTAAGATGTGTGGAAAAATTTGAAGCCAAAAAGATACTAGAAGAAGTCCACGAAGGAATTTGTGGGACACATGCGAATAGTTTCACAATGGCCAAACAAATTATGAGGTTTGGTTATTACTGGTCAATAATGGAGGGGGATTATATCAGCTTTTCATGTAAATGCCATAAATGACAAATCCATGGTGATAAAATACATGTTCATCCTTCACCACTTCATGTAATGACTGCGTCGTGGCCATTTTCAATGTGGAGCATAAATGTCATCAGGATAATCTCACCAAAGGCTTCAAACGGGCATCGTTTCATCCTAGTAGCTATTGATTATTTCACCAAGTGGGTTGAAGCTGTCTCATATGCCAGTATCACGAAAGGAGTAGTGTGCAGATTCCTAAGAAGAGAAATTATCTGTAGATATGGAACCCCAGAAAGAATCATTATAGATAATGCTCTGAATTTGAACAACGACTTGATGAAGGAAATATGTACGAAATTTAAGATCAAGCATCACAATTCAGCTCCTTATCTCCCAAAAATGAATGGTGCAGTATAAGCAACAAACAAAAAATCAAAAAGATTGTCGCCCGAATGACTGAAACATATAGAGACTGGCATGAAAAGCTACCTTTCGCTCTGCTCGCTTACCGCACATCAGTCCAAACATCGACTGGAGCAAAACCATTCTCACTCGTCTATGGGATGGAGGCATTTTTGCCAGTTGAAGTGGAAATCCCTTCTCTGAGAGTAATGATGGAGCTCAAGTTAGAAGAGGCTGATTAGGTTCAGAACAAATTTGATCAGTTGAATTTAATCAATGAGAAAATATTGAGAGTTATCTGTCATGTTCAAATGTACCAGAAGAGGATGATACGAGCTCATGACAAGAAAGTTAGACCTCAAGAATTTCATGAAGGAGATCTGGTACTAAAAAAGATCTTACCCATGCAAAAAGACTTCCGAGGGAAGTGGATGCCAAATTGGGAAGGCCCCTATGTCGTAAAGAAAGCATTTTCGGTAGGAGCTTTGATTTTGACTGAAATGGATGGAGATGAGTTATCTAATCCTATAAATTCTGATTCAGTCAAGAGATACTACACCTGGAGAGAAGAAAATGGAACAGGGGATCAAGATAAAAACCCAAAATGGATGTCTTGAAGCCAAATAAGGGGTACGAGTTAAAAATCTGTAAGAGACTGCTCGAATATATGGGATTAGGCTCATAACATTGACAGTTAGGGGAGAGGTTCTTATACTCATACATCTTTAATACGATCTGAATCCTCTAAACACATGTCAGCTTTCAAGAGAGACTTGGGACAAAATGATAGAAAGACTCACGCACTTGATATCGGGTGTACCTAATATCTATTCTTTTTGTAATGTTTGTCTTTCTTTCGTTAAAAGAAATCTTTATCCAAAAATTGTACATTTGTACCACTCTTTAATGAAATCAATTAGATGATTTTTGTTACCTTCTTTGCATAAGCATTATACATATAAAATTTTGATTAATAATGGTATTATATAAAAAGAATGATTATTATGCCTTACTCAGAGAAGAGTACGAGATTACGGGAATTTCAAAACAAATGTACACCAGGAAGCCTATATGAGCACGATATCTCTAATCGATCACAATATCAGAAAAAAACAGAGATCATAAATCAGTGTTTGTACCAGATGTAACCTTACCCATTCAATTCGACCTTTCTTCAATTAAGGGGGTTAGTATTACAGTCACATTTGGAATCCCATACAAGGGCAGTAGAAAACCTTGACGGTTTTTAATCAAATGTGGACCACAGGAAGCCGATGAAGTTTCACAATTCGAAACGTGATGCATCAAATTACACTGAACATTCACACATTACATTCACATTAGATCATCCTTGGGACATGGTGCATATGACATGCATGATATTTGATTTGTTTGAACAAAATTAGTTAAAGTTAGTTTTGACCCGACCTCCTTAACATGAAGGAGAAATGTCATCCTCAGACAATCAGACTTCTTCAATGCGAAGGAACAATGTTGTCTCCAAGTCATCTTCTGATCGACCTAATTTCCTCAAAATGAAGGAGCAGCGTCATCTTTTTACCTGAAAATGACCAGATCTCTTCAACATGGATGAGCAATGTCGTCTTCAACATCAAATTGTGTCCAGGTCGACCTGATCTCCTCAACGCGAATGAGCAGTGTTATCCTCAGACAATCAGACTTCTTCAACGCAAATGAACCATGTTGTCTCCAAGTAATCTTCTAATCGACTTGATTTCCTCAAAACGAAGGAACAACATCATTTTTTTACCTGAAAACGACCAGATCTCTTCAACACAGATGAACAGTGTCATCTTCAACATCAAATTATCTCCAGATTGATCCGATCTCCTCAACACGAAGGAGCAACGTCATCCTCATATAATCAGACTTCCTCAACGCGAAGGAACCATTTTGCATCCAAATTATCTTCTGATTGACCTGATTTCCTCAACACGAAGGAACAACATCATCTTCAAACAGTTTATCTAAAAACGACCAATCTCTTTAACACGGATGAGCAATGTCGTCTTCAACACTAAACTTTTCAGATTGATCTGATTTCCTCAAAATCAAAACAATTAGAGAGGCCGATCAAAATCAGTGTCTTTGATCTTTGTCCTATTCTCTTTATACGACAATGGACAAAGAGGGGCAGCTGTAAACACCGTATTTTGACCGAGTAGTGTTTGACTTGGAAACAAAATAGGCAGGAGCCCACGTGAAAACAAAACATCTATGGTAACATGTTACCAGCTCTGCTGCAGTCCTCGTTTTTTCAGCACTCGCCCACGTCACACAATTTGACAACGCCAAGGCAGAATCGCAAGAAATTCAGGGCATTAAATGCTCTGACCGGCCAACTTTACTAGCGTCAAAAACGTCGGTTTTACCCTATTAAATGCGTGGAAAAAGCATAAAAGAAATATTTTTTCCCATGTAATCGGGTATATAATACCCCAAAAAATCAGTGTAAAAGGACACGAGGAGATTGGAACGAAACTGAGTAATAAAATATAGAAACTTTAGAGGTATTATGGTTCTTATTTTCGGTTTATTGCCTAGATTCTTGAAACGTAATTAGAAAGCAAGTTTATTTTTTTCTCGTTCTTGGTTTCGTGTGATTTTTTATGCTTTCTAAAATAAAATAGAGATTTTTGATTTACCTTAATACATGTGCTTCATCGGTGATTGTTAGTTGGAGGATCTCCTCATCCCGCTTATGGTTCATACTTGATTGTTTGCGTAATTGTTCATGGTTTTTTTTTTATTTTTCTGGGTTTTTTCGATTTCAATAACATGAACTGTTTTATTTTAATGGGGATTGAATGTTGAAGGTGAAAGGTTAATATATGTTTCAATCATTTACTGGTTTTTAGCAGTAAACAAAAGGAGAAAGGAGAGTGAGTTGAGAGAGAAGGGATAAGAACAGAAAATAAGGGAAACTCCTTTCTTTTTAGCTTTTCAAGTACTGGAAGAGTGATATGGGGTGGGGTTTTAGTTTTTTAACTTTTGGGAAAATCATGTATTAGGCCCTTTATTTATAGTGTACTTTATGCTATTGTCACAAAAACACAAAGGGTTAATCACACGTCCAGTCCCCAGTTTCAGCATGTTTAACGTTTTGGTCACTATCAGGGGAAAACCACCTATAAGTCCCTTGTATTTTAGCCATTTTTATGCTCTGGTCGCCTATTTTTTTTTTTCGAATTTTACTTGTTGATTCTACTAATTTTTTATTTGGTAACTGATATATGCTTTATATTTTGAATTAGCCACTGACTTATCAAAACTCTAATATTTATTTTATTTTATCATTCGAACTAACATCCTAACTTTTTATTTTATTTGTTCATTGTAACTTGCTAATTTTTATTTTACTTGTTATTATTAAGTTATTAACCTTTTATTTTATTGCACAACAAACCCCCTAACTTTTAAATTTAATATGATTTATTTTTTTTATTTATTTTTCAGCATTTTAAATTTCAGTATTTTATTTTTCTGCTCTTTAATTTTCCAGTATTTTATTTCAGTCCTTTAATTTCCAGCCTTTTAATTTTCTGTATTTACCTTTTAGCATCTTAACGCATACTTTAGTTTGTTTTAGTCACTGAGTTTGCTTGTGGTACATTTACATTTTTTATTGCCGATATTTTTCCACATTTATGTTTCAATCTTATTTTATTTACCCTCTTATTTATTTGGTATTTTCATACATGTTTGGTCCTTTATTTATATGAATATTTTGACCTTTTATAAATCACCAATGCTTTCTATATATATATATATATATATATATATATATAAATAAGAAAACCTTATTGTGTGAGAAATCTATGAAGACATCTCCCAAATACAAGGGACTGTGTCTTTTCGAGGATTATTCGCATAAAAGTCTTATTTTTGCATTTGATATTTTATGTAATTTACATTTACTTATTTTGATTATTCTTGACCTCTTTTCATTATTTTATTTTTTTGTTTTGTTTTTTTTTTGTGGTGGGAATCTTTGAAAGCATCTCCTAATTATAAAGAAAATGCATTTTCAATGATTGTTCATATAAAATGATGTATTTTTCTCTTATAAAAAAATTATAACATTTTCTATTTTATAAAAGTACCTTTTGAGCTCTTCGATCTTTTCGACCCATTGCATTTCTTATTTTAGATTATTTTTGGAAATTGACATTTTTTAACTGATTGAATAAATAGAAGGTTCGTATTTTAAATATATTTTCAAGTTTGTAATTCCCAATATTTAAACAACATATAATCGTTTAGGTACAAAAAATTAGGCATTGTGGGGGTGCTCACCTTTCCCCACACGTAACTGACTTCTGAACTCTTAAAAACGATTCTTTGGTAAAACGCAGATCAGCTTTTTGTCTTAAAAACGATTTTCTTAAAATTGTTTTTTTAAAAGACGTTTTTAGGTATTCGACCTACCTAACCCAAAGGTCGATGGTGACTCTATCCAATTTAATTTCAAATCACCATTTTTTTCCAAAATTAAAATTGTAACTGTTTTTTTTAAAATAATAAATAATTATTTTGTAAAAAAATGGTTATGACACCTAATATATAGAGTACAGACAAATTTCCACATCCCATGAATTTTGTTTAGCTTTCGTATTGTATATCATCACTTCATATTTGTTTTCTATAAAGCCAGCCTTTTCTCTCTTATATAATAATATGATCGTCTTCAACACTATAGGCATGGGGAATTCGTAAACAAGGAAACAAAATACCCAGTTTCAGATATGGCTAAGCGTTTCAAGCTCAAAATTTCTCGTCTTTTACTATCTTTCCGATTATGTCGATCAATAAAAGCTTCCAACTTACCGGACATTCCATTCCCTTTCATTCGCCGCCTATCTCCGGTGAATGCTACAGCCTTAGGCGTTGGCTATCGGAACCTGAACCTCCCTGCTCCGCCGCCTCCGACACCAGACCTCTCTGTTATCAAGCGCCATTTATCACCGAAGATAGCATCAGCCACGAGAAATAAGATGGAGAATGTGAAGGCCAATGCCGAGACCGAAACACTGATATAAACTTCCAGATCCTTCTGGGACGATTCATCGTCGTTTGAATTGGCTGAGGATTCTCACATGGAAACTAAGAAGAAGAAGACGAAGAAGAAGAAGCCAAGCAATGCGAAGATGGTGAAGAGAATGAGAACTTTCGGCTCAAAGAAACACGGCGGTGATCCGCTGTGGAGGGCGGAAGGGAAGGTGAGGGAGAGCGTAGCGGTGGTAAAGAGATTGGAGGATCCTTACGAGGACTTCAATGGGTCGATGATGGAAATGATAATGGAGAAGCAGATGTTCCAAGTGGAGGAATTGAAGCAGCAGTTGCTGTGCTTTCTTTCGTTGAATTCGATCGAATTTCATGGAATTATTGTGGAGGCCTTCATCGAGATTTGGGAAGCTTTGTTTTATGAGCAGTAAATAGCTTTGGACCAATTCAACATATAATGAAGTAGGTATGCAAGGGTTAATAATCTCTGGTGAATCACACTATTGGTTAATTACAACAATTATATTTATTTTAATAACTTTAAATATCATTCTCTAATTTTCTGATTACAATATTCATAATATTGTTCAACGATAATATATAAATTTGTGCTTTAAATAAAGTCCTAAATATAATACACTTAGTCTAATAATTTATTATCAATACAAACACTTTAAAAACATATAATGATATATAAACATCCATCTTTCAAAATGTTAGTTTTAAAAATAAATATAAAGGAAAATTAATAATATTAGAAATAAATAAAATAAAAGTATAACCCCTAGACTCAGCATAGACGTTACCGTCCAATCTCGATGGTTACATTATTCACTATATAGATCAAGAAATTAATTCACAAAATTTTAACAATTATAAAATCAGATTTTAAAATAATTTATTCAACTTTTATCTTGTTAACAAAAAAATGATTTAATAAAAAGTAAATTCAAAATCGATTTTATGATCTCTAAGATGCAGATCCGATCCTAACACCTTGAAATATCTTAAAGAGAAAAAATAAAGGGGCGAGCTATAGATTCTAGGTTTCATTTAGAAATAATATTTATTTATAAAAATACTCATTTTTAGACAAGCAAGTAAAATATGTTATATAATTAATAAAAAATAGCCGAAAACGAGAGGAGTTTAGGTGGTTTTGGTAACCCAAAAGAATTGGAATCAAATTCTAACAAAAAGAGGTAATTTGCACCCCAAGTCCTAAGATCTTTGAGATTCATAATTGTTTCCGAAAAGTTCTAAGAATTATAAAATCATCCCCAAAGTTTTGTATTGTTTTATAATTTAATATTTTTAACACAAATTCATTTAAACCTTTAACCCATATTTTAGGTTGTGACAATTACTTTACTACAAGCTGTTGGAGAAACAACCACAAGGCACCTAGGCATCAACTTCTCATTCCCCTTGCCGTTAGAGCTTTCACCCAAATCTTTCACTAACCACAAGCAAGGAAATGAATTACTAATCTATATAAGTACTTAGAGGTAAAAACATGATTCCTAAACATTAAGAACATATTTGAATCATTTATAGACTTTAAAATCAAAACCCTCTAAAACCTCAACTTGGCCACCATAGTAAAACACCAAGATAGAGAGCTTGAATGAAAGCTCAAGAGGAGATGATTACACTTCTTACCTTAGAAGAATCGTACTGGAATATTTGCCTACCAAGTTTCCACCTTTACTCTAACTACAAGAGGAGGAATATGAGCATTTGAAAAGATTTGGGTGGTTTTTCTGCTCGATACAATGTGAGACTTGTTGCAAAGGAATTTTTACAAGTTCCATGGTTTAATTTCTATGATACGTTTAGTCCGATTGTCAAACCCTCAACGATAAATATGATGTTATCTTTTACAGTTCAGAATAGTTAGCCACTTTGGTAGGTGGATGTAAATAACACCTTCCTTAATGGGGATCTTCTTAAAAATGTGTTCATGGTTTAGTCCCCTCATTTTGAGAATGAATCATCTAGTGGTGAATGACTTGTGTGCTGATTACAAAAGGATTTGTATAGCTTGAAGCAAGCTCCACGAATATGTCTTAAAACTTTAATCTTTCTTGTTTAGCAGTGGTTTTGTGTGAACCCAAGTCGATGTTTCTATGTTCATTCATCTACGTTGATGATATTGTTATTATAGGTATTTCTGATGAGTAGATTGAAGAAGTGGTACACTCCCTTAGTCTTAAATTTTCTTTGAAGGATATTATGGAGTTAAATTTCTTTCTTATTCTAGAGGTTGAGCACAGTGCTAGAGTGTTGAAGTTAAGTCAACAAAAGTATATTCGTGAGTTTCTTGAACGTGCAAATATGGTAAATGCTCACTCAGCTCCTACTCCAATGATTGCTACACCTAAGTTGATTCAAGAGCAAGTCGACCTCTTATCGACCCTAACCTTTATTGAAGTATTTTTGGTGCTTTACTTTAACTTTGTCATACTAGACTAGATGTTGTCTTTAGTGTTAGTAAAGTGGCTCAGTATATACATTAGCCATGTGAATTGAACTGTGTTGAGTTAATCGATTGACAGAATCGGCTAAGAGGGGGGTGAATTGGCAATTAAAAATTTGGTGGAAGCTTTTGCAGAAAATTGAAAGTAATTGCACATCGATTTAGAGTGGTTCGACTTTCTCAACCAAAGTCTACGTCCACTACCTTAGCTATCCACACTAAGGATTTTCCACAAATTCACTAATTTGTCTTTCTTTTGAGGATAAAGAGTAACCTTGCAAACCCTAAAGAATTATACCCCAAATTCTTGAGAACACTCTCTCCCAAAGAGAACAATACAAATTTGCAAACTTACAAGGAAATCCTCACAAGGTAGATTGTTTGCACAATTCTAGAACAAAGAAAAGAACACTCAAGAATGAATACAATTGAGTACAAGTAGTGTTCTTGAAAGCAAAATGAATATTGAATGAAAAATAGGCTTGAAATGCTCAAACTTGAGGTTTGATGCTTTCTCTTTGATTCTCTCTTGATTCTAGTTGCTTGTTGTTTCTTGTTTTGATCAATGGCTTCTAAGCTTGTTTAAATACACCTTGAATCACTTCTGAACGTTAGGGATCATTAATGAAGTTATTGGAGCCGTTTAAGTGTGAAAACAATTAATATTTCTGCTTGGAGCGTGGGGGAATCGGTACCCCCTCATGGAGAATCGGTTCCCTAAGTGTAAAATTCAAATATTTTGACCGTTAAACAGGGGGAATCGATACCCCCTTGGGGGGGAATCAGTTCCCTCCGAGCATCTATTTTTCTCGGAGCCAAACCATTCAGGGGGAATTGGTACCCTCTTGCGGGGGAATCGGTTCCCTCTGAGCAATCTGGAATTTTTTGCTTTGAAATGGTTCGAAATATTTTGTAAAATTATTTTGAAATTATTTTAAGATTAAAACTTAATTTTACACTTGAGTAAGGATTAAAAATGACATTTGAAAGATTTGGAGTAATATTTTGATATTCGAATAATTATATCGAATATACTTAGAAAATCTTTTTGGAAAATCTTAAAATTCATTTAACTTAATTTGTTATATCGAAATATCAAAATGTTTTCAACAATCTCCCCCTTTTTGATATAACAAAACATTTTAGTAATTTTAAGATTTTATCAAGTTTGAAATTACTCCCCCTTACTTTAACACTTCTCCCCTTTAAAACACCTTTAACATTTCTCCCCCTTTTTGTTAAATCAAAAAGACTTTTAAAAGATATTAAACAAGGTTTTGAAATCATTTAGCCAACTGATTATATATAGATAAATAGCTTAAGCTGCTAAGATCACAATCAAGAGAAACGTTAGCCATTAGTTTCATAATCAATATTCATATACAATGTGACATGGCAAAATTGGTCATATATCTAATTGATGTAAATGATGCAATAATGAATAAATTTAACCAAACCAAATATATAGAAATATAAGTTCAAACATCCATAATACATCAAATTAGTTCAAATATCCAACAACCAAAGTAAAAACAATCCAAAAACATTCAAAATGTTGAAACAATAAGCTTTAAGTTCAAAGTACTAAAACATAACACGGAATCAAGCATCCGTAGGAGGATCAGAAGGAGGAAAATGAGCTCGCATAGCGGCCATCTCATGTGAGAGTGCATCAATGTGTTCATTCATAGAAGCGTTGTTTGTGCGCATCTCCCAGAGAATTTCCAATTGTTGAGCTCCCATTGTGATAAATGAGACTCTATGGAAGTGAAGCGAGAATCCATGGAAGCATATCATAAATCGAATGTCTCCATAAAGGATCGAAAGTATGGAGGCATTTGATCCTCTGGCTGTGCTTGTTCCTCTGCTCGTGCTTGTTCCTCGTGCTGTTCTGGTTCATCATCGGAGTCGTCAACTTCATGCGGTTGCTCACCGGTAAGAACCTAAAGACCAGTTTCTTCATTGATCTTCCATCCAATTTAGTTAAATAGAATAGATTGATTTGGTTTTTGAGGGGAAAGGAAGCATCAAGACCAACTCTAAGCCCAGCCTTCTTAAACAGATTACTAAGAATACAACTGTAAACTAAAGAAGAACACAATTTCTTATTGGGAACAAGATTTACGGTTTCGACAAGTTCAGCAAAAATAATATGTGGAAGGTTAATTTTGTGATTATTTTGGACACAATGAAGCCAAAATAGATCTAAGGCGCGAAGAGTAGAGTAACGGCCCCCGGATGGTCGAAACCACCAAGAGATCATTAGGTGAAGAAAACGGTCATGAAGGTCTAGAACACTTGCACTATCCCTTCATTTATACTGAGATCCTACCATAAGTTTTTCATTGTCTAACCCTTCATTATCTAATCCTAATGCTTTGGCAATGGATTCCGAGTCAAGATGAAAGAATCGTTCTACAAGATAGGATCGGATCCCTATGGTTAAGGTTTCCTCTCGGTTTTTAATGCAAACGACATTAGAGTAGAAGATACGAACAAGTTAATGGTAGACAATTGGTTCAAGCTCGAAGAGTTTGTCAAATTTCCACTCATGAAGAGTAGGAAGATGACGAAAATTGATGTCTAGCTTGGCTTGAAGAGATGGGATACGTTCTTCCCAGATTTTGTAAGACTTAAAGTATTGACAAAACCTATAGTAGAGATTTTGTTTACGACCGGGTTCATTGAAACAAGAATTGCAATGGTCATGTTTGGATCATCGGAATTAGGAATAGGAATTTTTTGGATAGGTGGAGGATTTGGAGTTGAGTTTGGAGGTTGCCTAGAACGACTAGAAGAGGCCCTAGAACGTTTATGAGACATGGTTTAAGATAATCGGAATGGAAAGATAACCTGCATTTTTAAAAACATATGTATGCAAAATAATGAATCCCAAAACTCAATTGAGTCCTCAATATTTCAAGGTTCTCTAAACCAATCCTAATGGGCAAA